TTTTTTACATTTATAGCATTTTTCAAATAGTATCACATATTATTATAGCATTATTCCCACCACAATTTGAGATAGTTTTCGTAGTTAAGCATGAAAGGAAGTTAATTTCATATTCACACCTACAAAGTATTAGAAATTTTTAAGTACATAAATACAAAATCTTCAATTTCAAGCACACATCAAATTAAGTAGATATATATAATCTAAAAAAAGTTCATATAAGTCTTAGAATGTTCTATACATATTATATTAAGTCTAGAGTCGTCCCAAGTTATATATGAAGCTAAATAAGGTACCTGAATCTAAGACATTTGAAGAAGTTCCCTGTTCTCAAAAGCTTGATAGATAATAAGAAACATGGTCCAAAAATAGTGCAAAGGAGTGTCAGTATCTCCACCTATAAAAAAACAAAAATAATATATATTTGTAAGATCGAACTTTATTTTTGCTACTAGATAAAAAAACGTAATCAAACTCAAAAATAGAAATTTACTTACATATTTATATTTTTACTTTATCAGCAGGTCAAACAATCATAGTACCCACTAGCGGATTATTCCCCAGTGGAAGTGATTTATCGCTTGGTTCAGTTTTCCTTTTGAAATTTAAAACACAGAAAAGTAAAGAACAGGGGAATTGGGTGCCTGGACATGAATTGGCCCCTGATTCCTTGGTGACGTCGGCCGAGTCTTGATCCAGAGAGGTGGCACATTGATCAGAAAATTTCCCTGACAAAGACATTGTCACTAAAATCGGGCAGGGCTAAATATTCCTTGACTAGTTCTGCCAACTCAATGACTTGCACTTGCTCGAATTGGAATCCTGCCAATTCCAAGTTCTCATCGTGCTGAATTTCTCGCACTGGGATAGGGTCCAACACCTTTGAAGAATCTTTTCTTCACGTTAACCCAAACAATACCTCCACTCGATCTTCCTTACTATGACTCCGGCGAGAATCTGGTTGGTGGAAACCAAAAGGGATTGAGAGCTGGAGAGAAATTTTGAGAGTTCTATAACTTTCTTCCGTAGGTGAAGCAACCAAACTGGCAAAATTAGTTTCTGCCAGTTTAACGAAGAGTGACGTGGGGAGTTACCCCACATCATCACTTCCCACTCCCCTGCAATTTTGCAAGACGAGTTTTAATTAAATATAAAATTAATTAAATATAAAATTAATTAATAATAAATAATTAATAATTTAATTATTAATAATCAATTAATTTAATTAATAATTATTAATCTAATTAATAATTAATTAATTAAGTATAAATATTGATTAAATAAATAATTAGCCATTAATTATTTAACTTTTAATTAAATATCACATATTTAATTAAAACCAATATATTTAATCATATTCAAATGCACATTTGTTGTATAACCTATAGATTTAATGTACATCATACGTACATCAATTTTAACCTATAGTTTTAATATGAATCTAATTCATAATTATTATATGAATTTTATTCAAATATTTCTCTCATAATATATAATATTAATTTCGAATCTTTACCCAAAATTAATATATATATTTATATATGTATCAATACACATTATATACATTCCCTATTTTCAACAAAATCTTGATCCTCGTTTTACATGTTCTGAGCTACGAAGGAGATCTAATAGACGTACATATTAGAAGCTCCAACGATACGAGGTTAATTGATTTAAATCATTAACCAAATTAACCAACATTCGTTGACTGCAAATCATTCCACTAAAGATCCGCAACTGCACTCTTCTGCAGAATATTTTGTGTCCATGGAAATTGACCATTAACGGCAAGTCAATCATTCACGAGTGTTCGTAACTTCAGCTAGGTCAAATTACCGTTTTACCCACCTGAGTTACATCTTGCACCTTAAATATCATTGCTCCTCTAATGAACAACATATTTATGATCCGACCATTAAACAGAAGTCTCTTTCGGGCCAGTGAGAGGTTGGGGCCCCTTGTTCAAGTTTTGGAGTCAGCATTTAAGGGAACACTCATCTACTTATCCTAAAGTCGGGAATGAGTGAATTTCATCTTGCGTAGTTATGTTCTCAGCTCCCCACTCGGTCTCGTCTCCAAAATGGTAGGATGATTGAGTCGGCAACTCGAGTCACTTTCACCCATACAAATCAAAAAACGATCCCTTATAGGTCGAAGTCCATAACTCGCTCAGGATTAAGATCAAGTTATCTGGTTATCCAATGAAATATTAATCTAGTTATTTTGTGTGTTATAACTAAAGATTAATTATTTCGCGGTTCGATCTTATACAAACTCATTGTATAGGATACCATCACTCACATGTCTCCACATGAACGACCTGTATAGAGTCATTTTGTAACTATTACAAAGCGGGTCGTATCTATAGTGTTACCAGGATAAAGTACCGAATCTTATCCATGTACTATAGATCATTTAAGTTATTACTGAAACACTATCCACTTGTGTATCAAATATATACACTGTATATTTAATATATCGTATATTAGTTATATACTGTTCCAGATATATTAAATAACCTTGGATCTTAGTTTATTAGAATACGAGTAATGCAAAGAAATAATAACTCTTTATTGAATAAATAAATTAATTGTTCATTAATTACAAATACACGAGGTAAGGGCACCAAACCCAACAACAACATCATCAATAACCATCCTATCGGAGATGTGGGCCTCCATAAATATGAATTTGGTTTTTTTCTTGTATCAACCCACACTTGTACAATATTTGGATCGAGAGGGATGTGATGCACAAGTACTGATGGATCATTAGAAGACCATCTTCCTTCAACAATTACTTCTCCAGAACCAATCTATTCGAGCAACATACAGTTTCGTGGGGCATTATTGATGGTTACACTCTAATTTCACCAGTAAAGAAAATTTCAAACAGTAATAGATTTAAATACTAATTAACTACAAACTTAAATATACTGCTAAACATACCGGTGAAGAACCTAAGTTTGCTGATGGAATATGTGCTGATGTCGGTACATTTGCAATGTGATTGGAATTTTGTTCGTTTGACTTGGCCTATATGTACAAAGTATAGAAATGATGAAGTCTGAAAGAATCATTTAAAATAAACAATGTTAAGTAACTTTACCTTACTTGCGAGTAGGAAAGACACCAAAGACTTCAACTCAATCATTTTCGATGTCATTCGGTCACATTGTTTTTGAAGATATGTAATAGTTTTATCATTTGAATCATAGAACAACTTTGATTTGTCACTCTATGTCCATATCCTCTTACATAACCACTAGGGTTGTAAGTAACCGAACCGACCCGAGAATCCGAACCAAATGTATTCGTGTCGGGTCGGGTCGGGTCAGTTTTGATAAATATCGGTTCGAGTCGGTTTGACCCAACTAAACCGAGTCCCATATCGTTACCTTACCCTAGCCCTACATGCTTTTTCGTCTGCATTCTCGATGGACAAGGCGGTGGCACAAGAAGACGATTCATGAACATCGGCATACGACAAAACTCACGGCGGAATCTCAGGCGACACTCGACGGAACCCACGGCGGAACATGGCACGCGATGTAACCCACGACGAAACCTCAAGTGGCACGAAGAATCCATGGTGAAACTTGAGGCAGTAATCGATGGAACCCACGGCGAGCAGTGGCGGAAGGAAAGGAAAGAAACCCAATGGCTGCCCCAAAAATCCCAGTTTCTCTCTCCCAAAATCTCATTCAATTCGATCTTCTCCCCTTCAATTTCCATGGTAAATCTCTCTCTCCCAATCAATTTCAATTTCTCCCTCCCATTTAATTTCAATTTCAATTTTAAATCTCTCAATTTCGTGAACGAAAGTATCCCATTTCTCTCCATTTGAGAACGAAGGTTTCGAGATGGAAAGAAACAAAATTTAATCCCGTTGAATTTCAATTTTATATAATTTAAATTTGGACACTAATCCCATCTCGATTTCGGGGGAAAAAAGAAAATCGACCTGACCCGGCTTGTAACCGACCTACCGTGAAACCGACTAACTTAGGGTCGGTTCGGTTTCGTTATGAAACCGACCCGACCCGAGTAATTTACACCCCTAATAACCACAATCAAGACCCAATACTTTACTGATTGCATCATCAACCACATTAGTCTCATTACTCATCCTGCGCTCCTAACATTACGTTTCAAAACATCCACAAGATTAAAGATATTAATTAGCTTTCAAAAACTACCATAGAACTCCAACCATTATTCTTAAATGAATATACAAAACACATGGATACAACTAACTAACACACTTAATAATATATCACTCTATATCTACAAAACCACAAACTCAACAAACTCAACAAAACCACTAATTGAGAACTCCACAAAGAACAAAAGTCATACACCTAGAAATAATAATGATCGTCTGGGGGAGGGGTTCATAGTAAAAACATCGAGATACAACAAACCTAAGACATCTAACTGAGATGTACTGTTGGAAGCGTGTGATGGACACTTGCTAATTTAGAATCAACAAAACTCGTTTGAGAATAAACAACTTCACTTGTATTGAAAAATTTCTCACAAAATACACATTTGGTTCACAAACTCTCTCAAACTCTCTTGTTTTTCTTCTCCACACACTTGCTTGAAATACAACAAGAGATCATCCTATTTATAGGACTCCATGGAAGAATCTAGATCCATAAACTCCATTCTATGAATCTATACATACATGAACACACAATTAACTTATCTAAATACATGAATGTACTAGTTCATGTACATGTATCATGTACCTAGGAATGTATATGCATAATGTATCTAGAATAATACATGTTTAATTTTCAACATCCGCCCTTAAACATGTCTTCCTCGTAACTCCAAGTAAATTCCTCAACTTGTTAAAGACGTTAACTTTGAGTGGCTTTCTGAAGATATCCGCAATTTGATCTTCAGTTTTCACATAATCAACTTGAATCTCTTTTCTTGAAATGCATTCTCTGATGAAGTGAAATCTCGTATCAATGTGCTTATTTCGACCGTGGAACACTGGATTCTTTGCTAGAGAATTGCTGACTTATTGTCTACATGGATCATAGTTGCATCTTCTTGTACAATTCCAATTGCCTTCAACAAATTTCTCAACCAAACTGCATGACACACACTTGATGATGCAGCAATATATTCTGCCTCACAAGTAGATAGTGTAACAATAGCCTGCTTTTTAGAACACCATGTAAAAGCAGTATTGCCAATAAAGAACACAAACCCACTTGTGCTTTTCCGATCATTAAGATCTCCAGCCCAATCACTATCACAATAGCCTTCAAGTTTGAATTCGCCAGATGATGAATAGAATAAACCATAATCCAGCGCCCCTTTGAGATAACGAAGGATTCTCTTTGCTACTTTTAAATGAGTAGTTGTAGGAGATTCCATAAACCGACTCACCAATCCAACATTGAACAGAATATCAGGTCTTATGCATGTCAGATATCTCAAGCTCCCAATTAAGCTTTTAAAATATAAAGGATCAACAACATCTCCATCTTCATATTTTGACAATTTCATTCCAGTTTCGATCGGAGTAGCAACTGGTTTCGAATTGAACATCTTGAATTTCTCAAGAATTTCTATAGTGTATCGTTCTTAAGAGATAAAAATTCCTTCCTCCGATTGATTCATCTCAATGCCATATACCAATGTCTGTCATCTCGAATTCTTGAATCATTGCCTTCTTAAATTCGTCAAACATGTTTGGACAATTTCCTATAAAAATCAAGTCATCAACATATAGACAAACCAACAAAATATCTCTATGATCGTTAGTCTTTGTATAAAAAGAATGTTCATGTGGGCATCTTAAATACCCATTGTCATGGAAATATTTGTCAATTCTGCTATTCTACATCCTTGGAGCCTGTTTCAACCCATACAGTGCCTTCTTAAACTTTAGAACTTTATCCTCTTGTCCTTTCACCACATAACCAAGAGGTTGTTCTAAATATACTTCTTCAAGATATCCATTCAGAAAAGCCGATTTGACATCCATCTGAAAAATCTTCCATCTATTTTGAGCCGCAAGTGCAATCAACAATCTTATAGTCTCCAAGCGAGCAACAGGAGCAAATACTTCATCGTAATCAACATCTTTTCTCTGAGAGTAGCCTTTCGCAACTAATCTCGATTTATGTCTTTCCACTTCTCCTCTTTCGTTTCTCTTTGTCTTGTACACCCATTTGACACCTACTGCTTTCTTTCCCTTTGGAAGATTTGAAAGCTCCCATGTGTCGTTCTTCTTTATAGCCTTTATCTCGTCATGCATTGCGGTCTTCCATTTTTCATCTTGTACAGCTTCTTCAAAATTTAAAGGTTCACTGTCTCCAAATAGACAAAAGAGAGTTAGATCATTAAGACCTTCATTTAACTCTTCAGTTTCATCATATATGTCCCGCAAACTTCTCATGCGATGATTCCCTTCACTTGAAATTGATGTAGATGATGAAGGCCTGGTTTGTACTGGCGTGACTGGTGATGAAGGCGGTGTTGATGGATAAGCAATATCACCAGTTTCATCATTATCTTCTGGAAAAAATAGGTACTTGTAGTCTTTTGGTTTATCACTCCAATTCCATACAGCTTCTTCATCAAACACGACATCTCTGCTTGCCACCATCTTCTCTGTAGCAGGATTATAAAGCTTGTAGCCTTTGGAGCTTGCATCGTAGCCAACAAAAATATGTTTCTCACTTTTATCATCGAGCTTACTGCGCTTCTGATCTGGTACATGGGCATAGACAATACTCCCAAAAACTCTCAAATGAGAAATAGATGGCTTTCTTCCGGTCCATGATTCTTGCGGAGTTTTATTCCACACACTTCTAGTGGGAGAACAATTGGACAAATAAACAGCACATTCAATAGCTTGTGCCCAAAACTATTTTGGCATCTTCTTACTCTTCAACATGCTCCGAGCCATGTTAAGTATAGTTCTATTCTTCCTCTCGACAACACCATTTTATTGTGGAGTCCATGGAACTGTCATAGGCCGACGAATTTCATTTTCTGCACAAAAATCTTTGAATTCATTCGAAGTGAATTCTCCTCCCCTGTCAGATCTCAAAACTTTTATATAAAAACCACTTTCTTTTTCAACAAAAGCTTTGAATCTCTTGAACATGCCAAATACTTCTGATTTCTCCTTGACAAAATAAACCCAAGTTTTTCGGCTGAAATCATCAATGAATAATAAGAAATAATTATTCTTATCGAAAGAACTTGGCTTGATAGGACCACAAAGATCAGTGTGAACAAGCTCTAGCGGTCTCTTTGCTCTCGAAGAAGATTCTTGTGGAAAACTCTTTCTTGATTGCTTGCCAAACAGACATCTTTCACAAAATTGATCTGGATGCTTGACATATGACAATTCTTTCACCATGCCATTCCTGGCTAATAATCTCAAGCCATCAAAGTTCAAATGCCCAAGTTTTAAGTGTCAAATCTATGATGAATCTTTCAAACACGACTTCAAACATTTTGTAACATCAGTTTGAATGTTTAATGGAAACATTTTATTCTTCGTCATTTGGACTTTAGCAATCATATTGTCACGATGATCCCATATTGAAATACATCTTTCATCAAAATATTGTAGCCTTTCTCCAAGAGTTGTCCCAAACTCAAAATATTATTCTTCATATTTGGCACATAATAGACATTAGAGATAAACTCATGCTTCCCGTTTTTCAAATTGATCAAAATCTTACCTTTTCCTTTTACAGGAATTTTTGTAGCATCACCAAATATGATATTGCCACCAACAGATTCATCCAATTTCACGAACATGAATTTACTTATGCACATGTGGTTGTTTGCACCACTATCAAGATACCACGAACTGTTCTCACATGTTTCTTCATCTCTGCATGCTAAAAGCAATGATGGCTCACTACTTTTAACATCTTCTTCACCGTAATTGACATTTTCTTCTACTTTATTTCTGCACTCCCAAGAATAATGATCGAATTTATGACAATTATAACATTCAACTCGGCTTTTGTCATACCTCCTGTCATCATTTGACTTTCCTCCATACGACCTCGAACAATTTTGTCTGCCACGACCTCTTGACAAATTGGAGTTGAAATTACTCCCATCAAACTTTCTTTGACCAAAGTTTCCTCGACCACGACCTCTGAAGTCACCATGTCCACGACTTCTACCACGACCATGACCTCGATAACCTCTTTCTTGGCTATCTTCTTTATCTTTCAACTGCAATTTTAATTGAAAGAGTTGTTCGATTATCTGTTTGCTCTTCTTGAAAAGCTTCTCTTCATGGGCTTGCAAAGTACCCATAAGTTGATCAACTGACACTGTACTCAAATCCTTTGATTCTTCAATTGCTACAACGATGAAATTAAATTTTTCATCCAATGAGCGAAGTATCTTTTCAACTACTTGCTCATCATTTATCGTCTCACCATACCTCTTCATTTCATTTACCACGGCTAGCAACCTTGAAGTATAATCTGAAATTGATTCAGACTCCGTCATATGTAATGCTTCATAATCACCTCTCAATTTTTGAAGTCGGACCTTCTTGACCAGATCAACTCCTTTATAAGTATTCTCCAAAATTTGTCATGCTTGCATTGCGGTGGTTGCTCTAGAAATATTCTCAAAATTTGTATCATCAATGGCTTGATGAATAATGGTGAGAGACTTTTGGTCTTTCTTTCTGGTATTTTGCAAAGTCTCTCATTAAGCTTGATTCAAAACCACATCCTCTGCTGGTTCTTCATAGTCTCTATCAACAATCTCCCATACATCTTGTGAACCAAGTAAAGCCTTCATATGAATACACCAACTGCTATAATTTTCTTTGGTAAGACGAGACACTTGGAATGGAACCAAATTGTTGTTTGCCATTTGCAAAAAACAACTCTTTTCAAACTCAGGCTCTGATACCACTTTATTGGAAGCGTGTGATGGACACTTGCTAATTTAGAATCAACAAGACTCGTTTGAGAATAAACAACTACACTTGTATTGAAAAATTTCTCACAAAATACACACTTGGTTCACAAACTCTCTCAAACTCTCTTGTTTTTCTACTCCACACACTTGCTTGAAATACAACAAGAGATCATCCTATTTATAGGACTCCATGGAATAATCTAGATCCATAAACTCCATCCTATGAATCTATACATACATGAACACACAATTAACTTATCTAAATACATGAATGTACTAGTTCATGTACATGTATCATGTACCTAGGAATGTATATGCATAATGTATCTAGAATAATACATGTTTAATTTTCAACATGTACTACATATTCACAAAAGCCATTCACAACTAATGATACCAACAAACTCAACACTACCACTAATAGAGAACTCCACAAAGAACAAAAGTTATACACTTAAGATAACATAATGATAGTCTATGGGGGGTTCATAATAAAAACACCTAGATACAACAAACCAACACCTAATTGAGATGTACTACATATTCACAAAAGTCATTCGCAACTAATGATATCAACAAACTCAACACTACCACGAATAGAGAACTCTACAAAGAACAAAAGTCATACATCTAGATAACATAATGATAATCTACGGAGGGGTTCATAATAAAAACACAGATACAACAAACCTAAAACAAAGAAGGTATTGATCTCTATCAATTACTTATAATTTGCTCTTTTTAACCTGGGATTACAACTTACTAGCAAATGCTATTACTACCCATTTTTTCGATTTATCTTCCCCCACTGTTTGTCCTTTTATCACAACTTTATATCCACCTTTATTACCTTTCCAACATTACTAACATTAACGAGCATTTTTCTTAAGGCGTTCATGATTTGGATGTAAGATACTCTTCGAAATTTTTAACTTTCTATTTTTTGTATGCTAGAACTTCTTGTCTAGTTCTTAAAAGGGTTAGCAATAGAGACAAACAAGAAGTTAAATAGTAAATTGTGTACGTATTGGTGTTGTATAAATTTAGTGAGATTTGATTCATTTGATACGCTAAATTTCCACTTTGTTAGAAATTTGATGAAATATTATTTCTTTACCTTCTGGATTTACATCTTTAGATGATTTTTGAAGCACATAGTGTGTAGTTGGGTTTTAGAAGATTTACAGCTTTTTTGGCCTTTGGTTGATTTCATCGCTTTATTGTGTTTACTTACTATGAATTTTTATTTATTTTCTTAGATCTAGCAAATAAGTGTTGGTGAGAAGTTAAGATGGAAGCATTCAGTTTGTAATATCCATTTTGACAAAGTTTATTGTTGTATTTTATGCTCTATGATGCTTTAATTTATGAATTTGGGTGATTTTTGTTATTTGCTAACTTTATCTTGTTGAAATTACTTATTGAATATTGTATAGTTCAATACATATTTTGTCTTTTAGATTTATGTACTTTATGTAGCTTCATATATATTTAGTTGGAACAATTATGAACTTATACTAGATATATGTATTCAAACATTCTAAAAGATATGAATTTTTTTTTGAAATTATATATTTACTTAATTTGATGTTTGCTTCAAATTGAAGATTTTATATTATATGTACTTTAAATTTTTTAATATTTTATAGGTGTGAATATGAAATTATATTATTTCAGGCTTAACTATGTAAAGTATCTCAAATTGTGGTTTGAACAATGCTATAAGAATCTCTAATACTATTTGAAAAATGCTATATAAATGTAACAAAAAATTCAGCTAAAAAAATATATATATATGAAAACTTTTCTATAGCATTTTATAGTTGCCATTAAAGGTTTATAATAACATAATCATGTAAGTTTTAATAGCATTTAACATATATGTAAAACAATGTTATAAAAACTTTGCCACTTTCCATAACATTGGCTACCACGACGTATGGAAAAATGCTACACAATCTTTATAATAACGTTTATTAGATGTTATGTACAATGTTATAGAATGTCTGCAATAGCATTAAATTTAAGCTATAAAAGGTTTTTCATAGCGTTTTTTTTAAGTTATAAAAGAGCTTCCATAGCGTTTTTTTAAAGCTATAAACAAACTTTTATAGCATTTTTTTAAGCTATAAAAAGTTTATTATAGCGCTTTTGACAACGGTATGGAAAGATTCTATAACATTAAAATTATGCAATCAAAAGCGGACTTTCTATAACATTTGGCATAACATAAAATAAAAAAACGCACATCGTCTACCACCGCGTCTCAAAAACACTATGGAAAGTCTAGAATAACATTTTTTTAACGCTATCGTATGTGATTTTTGTGGTAGTGATAGAACTCCAACCATTATTCATAAATAAATATATCCACAAAACACATTCAATAATATATATCAACTCTATATCTACAACAAAAGTCATACACCTAGAAAAAATAATGATAGCTAGTCTATGTGGGGGTTCATAATAAAAAGACCTAGATACAACAAACCTAAAACACCCAATTAAGATGTACATAACTAATGATACCAACAAACTCAACAAAATCACAATAAGACAACATATTCAACACTACCACTAATCTAGAACTCCACAAAGAACAAAAGAGCGAGCTTCTTCCCCCAAATATTTTCCTTTTAAGGTTTGTGTAAGGAGAGACATAGGCTTTGATATTATTCTCAATCCTTGTTTTGCCAGCAGGGTCTAGTTAAAAAGCTCAAGATCTCTGAAGCCCATACCTCCCTTGAATTTTTTGAATTATCTCATGTCTGTCTCTCTCCCAAAACTGTTAAAAGACCTAATTTTATAAGGCAAACAATCACGATAGCCTCATGGCACCATAAGTGAGCGCCAAGCGCCATGACACTGCATATAAAAAAGACGAGCAGAAGAGAAGTTCAGAGCACGGCGGCACATAGGGCAGCATCTAGGCACTGGTCTCTCAAGCCAAAATTTCCACTTTCTATTTTTTTTCTATGGCAGGTGTCCCGACACATTTTTGGGTGCCTTGGTGCTGTTCTCTTGGATACTTTGGCTCCAACAAGTGTCGTAATGTCTTCTTACTCACTCAAGCTATGATATTCCTCTCAATCCGATCCATTTTTGTCTCATTTTCTCACGACTATTTAATCCTTCAAAAATATATTCTAGGTGCGTAAATCTATCATAAATAAATGAAAACTAACCAATAAGTCGTCCAATATTAGATATCATAAAATGTAGTGCACAATAGTGGGCTATTCGAGATTCAATCCACATTCCCCATTGGTTGTACTAAACATAAAACTTAAAATGGGAGCAAAAAGTAGTATCTAAGCAGAAACAAATGTTGTATAATTTAGATAATGTGATGCTAAAAAAGTATATACAAAAATTAGAATAGAAGAATCAGTGATTACCGTTGCTTACTATACAAGTATGTCAATGTTTTGATATGACCACAGTTAATAAACGCATTTAAGTTCATGATTGGTTTAGGTTGATCCATGGTTATAGCATCAAATAAATTAATATACTAATTCATCTCAATTAAGTTTATGAATGATTTACCAATTTGTACTAAAAATATAATGGTTTACCAATTTACAAAATTACTATATTTGCAATTATTATTTCAAAAATTTAAATACTTATAATTACTTTAAAAATATATATCAATGTTTAATATTATTCTATTTTTGTCTCTACAATATACGATATCTATTTGGATCGTTGAACTTTTAAGTTGGTTCAATTTTAGAACTTAAACTTTTGAAATGCCTATTTTAGTCTTTGAAATTTATAAAAATAAACATTTTTGTCACTTGCTTAATTTTATTTTGATTTTAACCAATTAATAATAATGTTTCAAGGATGTGTACTATGTATTCAAACCATGACCATTGGAAAGTAAATTTTAGGTGAAAAATAGTCTAATGAGGACCAAAATGATGTTTAGGGACTCAAATAAACATTATAAAAATTTTGAAATCATAGAGTTGATTTTTATATTATATCTTTTCTTTTTTAGATAAAAAATAAAGGGATCAAAATTCAACCAAGCTAAAAATTAAGAATCAAAAATAGAATATAAATCTATGTATATATTAAAAGAAAAGCTATCCATAAAACTTTTCCGAATAAAAATGGCTTATGTGTACTGCCAAGTGTACCACTAAATTTTTAGTTGGAAAAGCCAACAAATATGGGGAAAAAATCAATTTTGACCGAGAAATTCCAATTTTACCCTAAAATTCCAATTTTCAAAATTTCACCTTAAAGTTATAAGTGTTGCGGTAGTCACCTCAAACTCAAACTTGTAGAACCGTGGCAGTTTTTACCTATTGATAAATTTTCATATTAAAGAGTCATTGAAAAAAATATTTTCATTTGCCTCCATGTAACTGATATCCAGATAAAAACTATTTTTATTTTTCTTATTTTTTAAGGATTAAGTACACAACTGACCTTTATATAAGCACCTAATTACATAAATGTTTAAAAACTCTAAATTTTATAGATTTGTCAAATAGAGGCCGGTTTAAGATGAGACCCATATAAAAATTACCAAATTAGCCATATTCATATATTTTTAA